CCTGATGGGATTCACAATGTAGCACACAGCCTTCACAGGCTCCTTGAGTTGGGTGCTGTCTTCAACATGGAGTGGCAACCACCATCTGAGCGTGTTGTTCTTCTTGTGCTCAGATCACCAGTGTTCAAGATTGGCCAGAAATGCAGGTGCCACTTCAATGCTCCAAAACTCATTGTCATCATTGAGAGAGATCACCTGCAGGACATTGATGCTGTCGCCCCACTGACTCCAGAACAGGGTGTACAAATCATCACATGAGCACTTCCACAAACATTTGGCGCAGGTGCGCTTCACAAGCAATGTGTGTATGTACTCGTCCATGGCACTAAAACAATGGGAAACTGGTGTCCTTTTTTTAGGGGGTTTTATGATGGTCACAGACAACACCGACAGCAGAACCAGCCACTCAGAATCAAGCTCCTGGTAGAAGGCGCCACCGCCCCTAGGCAGGCCCACTCCACGGATGCTGGGTACGATCTCTTCAGTGCTGTTGAGCGGCCCGTTGGTGAGCCTACACGGGCGGCGGTGATGCGAAGGTGGAGCTGCATCGCGAAAAGTGGGAATAGACCGGGTCTGTTCTGCCAATGGGAAGGATCGCCCAACAATGAGTAGGGCGAAAGAGCCCAACATATAATTAAAGCGGGAATAGACCGGGTCTGTTCTGCCAATGGGAAGGATCGCCCGACAATGAGAACCAGCATAATCAGAATCGCTCTGGTGTGTTAAGCGGACTGCTGCCTTTGGCCACACTTGCCTGGTCCCTCTCTTGCACCATGAAGCGCACAGCTGCCCTCATAGTGGTACTTGTGGCGGCATATCTCGCAGTCGCCATCACCGCAGCTCCAACAAGCGCATTCCCCCTGCAGCAAGTGTGGTACCGCAGGCTGGACTCAGGCTTGGGCATTCCGAGAGTGAATCCGCTGGGGCAGAAGGTAGTCACCTTCATCGCGGATAGGGTGGTGGACGAAGCGTCGGTATTGGTGGCTTTGGACGTGGACGATGGAACGCTGCTGTGGAACTCCACTGGTATTCGGTCCAACACCTTTACCGCCCCCTTCGTGCGAGTCGGCCAGTTGGAGAACGGGCTGCTCGTGGCTGACTTTGTAGAGGACAGCTCGGCTTCCAATACAACTTGGGAAGGTTTCGTCGTCCTCGTCACCAAGGCACGTATGAGTCGTGGTGATGGTTATGGCTTCTATTTTATTATATTATAATTACTCTCTTAATGTCTATTTACAACAGACCGGGGAGATTGTCGCAGTACACGGGGCAGTGAGGCCATCGAACAGTCGGAAGCAGTGGTCCGGGACGCAGCAGCTGTCCCGCTGGAACCAGCTCTACGTGGTGAGATGGGGCGACCAGAACTCCCTGCTGAGACTCCAAGCTGCCATCTACTCGCCCTACAGTCCAGCGGCGACCTACAATTGGACCTCTCCACTCTTCGGGGACCGTGATCCTGGCCTCTACGCTGCGCAGCGACGAGGTATCCTCTTGCACGCGACATATGAGCCCAACTCAGTCAGGCGCCTCGAGCCGTCCACGCTCAAGCCCATGTGGGGGATACCAGAAGTAGGCAGCTACGACCAGGTCTACATCTCCACCTTCATCGAGGACATCTTCCTGGTGGTGAGCACTGCCCCCAGCGCTCCGTTCATCAATGTCGTGACGGCTTTCTCGCTCGAGTTCGGCACCGCCCTGTGGAAATGGACCACCACGTCTCAGGTGGCCTCAGCCTTCATCTACTCCGGCACCGCGGTTGACAGGAAGACCGGCAACCAGCGCCTGTGCGGAAGACTGGTCCAGCTAGCGTCGAAGACTCCCGAAGAACGCCTTCTGTGCATCGAGCCCTGGAGCGCCCGCGTCACGCTCAACGTCACCCTCAGGTGTTCCAGCGACCTTGCTTATCCTAAGGCCGAGTTCATGGTGCGTTCATCCCGCAAGTACCCATCCGTTATCTTACGCCTGCACAACACCCAGGCCATCTATGACACTTGGGCGCTGGTCAAGGACACAGCGTCAGGCAATCTGTTAGCCCTCAGCTGCTTCAACCCCACCGAAGCGAGCCTGGCAACACCCTCGTGGGTCTTCCCGAACCAGCGAGACCTCTCCTCGGTGACGGTGAGCGAGGACGGCTTGTCCTATCTGATCGCCTCTTACAAGCCCTACGTCAACAACGCCTTCCGGTCGGCCATCGCCAGATGGGATCGCAACGCGACTCTTGGCCTGTAGGGATTCCCTCTGCAGTCGCGTGTTGATCAAAAGAGAGGATTTTAGTTTACTTGTCCAACAACGGCGAGGCGCGCGCTGCGGGTGACGCTGCCGTCGCTCACAAAGCTGCTGCCGCTGTTGGTGCTGTGTTCGATGCAGGCTCCAACGCCAACGGCGCCAACGACGACGGCGGCGGCGCAGTGTCGGAAACGCTGACGCGCTGGAAGAGTAGGTCCGCGGGGAAGGAGGGCGCGAGGTCGGCAGTTGATGGATCTCGGGATCGCCGTCGCCGTGCCGATCGGCACCTACGGGAGGATCGCACCGCGATCGGGTCTCGGTTGGAAGAAGGGCATTGACATTGGCGCCGGCGTCGTGGATGCCGGTTATCGTGGCGGTGTGAAAGCGCTCGTCTTCAACCACAACGATGAGGACATTGTCATTGCCTCGGGCGATTGCGTCGCTCAGCTCATCCTGGAGTGCATCGTGACGCCCGAGGTTGAGATCGTGGAGGGCGATCTGGACGCCACCGATCGTGGCGCCAACGGATTCGGTTCCACAAGCGTCGCCAAGAGACTCCGGGTCGAAACATAAATAAACAAACAGCAGCGCCTGTTCTTTTGAGCAATGGCACGGTGGAGAGTGTGATATGATCCCGTGGGATCCTACACCCAATAGAATCGGGGCCCGTGGGATGGCATCATCATCGACTGGAAAACAGGCCACGTCAGCGTGCACTGAAAGTTCTCGACGTACTCACGTGAGACTGGTGTGCGCCAGGTGGTCAACGACGCCTGCCTGGGGATCGTGCGGGATGGCAAGTTTGTCCAGTGGATGGAGTTTCTCGATGGTCGTGTCAAGACGATGCAGGCCGCCGGGGTGCTCCTACGGCGACGGCCCGGATGGCGTCATGAAGCCTGGCCGGCTTTCGTTCCCGGCAAGGAATCGTGCCGCGCCATTGTCACAGTGTCATGTCCATCG